AATAAGCCTTGTGTGCCACGTTGTGGTGTGACACCTGCGGGGTTGTGGCCATGCGTTGGAGTCAGGTGCAGGACCCCTGGCTTCTGGCTTGAACTCCGAGTACCAGTCAGGTGCCGGAGGTACGAAGGCCGCTCTCCCGCACCAGGCTCGCGAGCGGAGAGGGCTGCGCTGGGGCAGGGTCTGGTTGTCAGGCCGCAGAGCACAGGAGCGCGCAAGGGCAAGGTCCCGAACCTGCCCCTCCCAGTGCTGGGCAGTGGGCTGGGAGGCCCCAGGAGCTCCCGCAGGCAGGGCCCGGAGGTGGGGCAGGCAGGCAGGCACCACGCGGCAGAGGGGCGGGGCCGTGTGTGAGGACCCGACCGACCGTGCCCACCGTGGGATGGAGTTGTTGACGTGTGCTGTGACCCGCATCCCGGACGCATATTCTAAAGGTAGTTTCATTGAGTTGTCAGGCAGGACTGTTTCATTGACGTTCGATGTGTGCTTGTCAGAGCCCAGCGAGATCGTGGGTGGCCTCTCTCCTCCCTGGATGTTTGGCGGTGGTTAGGTAATGCTGCTTCCTGCTGGCCTGCTTCTTGGTGTTTGCTAGACTGTGGGGCCCGCTGTTATTCAGTCGATGCCAACTCAGCCCCCAGAGGACAGAGTGGAACTGGCCCAGAGGGTCTACAAGTCTTTCAGTCTTCACGGAAACAAAGCCCAAACCACACCCACTGCTGTGGAGTCGATTCTGACTCACAGCGCCCCCAGAGGACAGAGTAGAACTGGCCCAGAGGGTCTACAAGGCTGTCAGTCTTCACAGAAGCAAAGCCCAAACCACACCCACTGCTGTGGAGTCTATTCCCACTCACAGTGCCCCTAGAGGACAGAGGGGAACTGCACCATAAAATTTTTGAGGCTGTAATCTTTACAGAACCAGACTGTCACATCTTTCTCTCAGGGAGCAGCTGTTCGGTTTGAACCACTGACCTCTGAGTTGGCAGCTGAGCATTTAACCAGTGCACCACCAGGGCTACTTGGTGTTGTTACTTAGTACCACTAAAATTACCATAGACATCCTAAAGCTATCACTAGGTTTAGATTGTGTTTAAGTTCCGATCACTGTCTTTGAAGAGTGCAGTATTTCTCAAAGGCAAATCATCCAAAAGTTTGTTTTCGTGGGAATTGTCATAGGGCGCTTTCTCGCGTTCAGTGCATGCAGCAAGGTGGGACTTTTTGGTAGCCTGTCAGGATGTGACAACAGGACACTTTGTCCCTCCTGGGGTCTTAGATCCAAACTGCAGATGTGATGGGAGACACACAACTGCCTGTGTTTATAGAAACTTGTTATTTTGTAGTAACTTCAGGCTGACAGGTTGCATGGATGGTAGAGAGAACACACCATGTGTCCTGTACCCAAAGTCACTAGGGTTTTATATTTGGAAACTGTCATTTTCTTGCCCCATGTATGTGTATGTGTGTACACATATGTGCACATGTACACGTACATCCTTTTCTGTCCCGTTTGAAAGTAGATTGCATATAGCGTGACCCAGATCCCAAAAAAAACAATCCCACAGCCATCGAGTCAACTGTGACTCATAGTGATCCCCATTGGGTTTCCGAAGTGGTAAATCTTTATGGAAAAAGAGTGCCCTGTCTTCCTTCCCAGACTGGCTGATTGGTTTGAACCGCCAACGTTATGGTTAGCAGTCAGATGCCTTAGATACTGTGCCACCAGAGCTCCATATACCGTGACCCCACTAATCCTTAATAGTGAGGGGAAATTGCTTGAGGACCATTATATTTTCATACATAATCACAGTGCAGTTACCTCTCCCACAGTGCATGGTCTAGTTTGTCAGTTGTCCCACTACTTCAACAGACAGATTTTTATGGCAAGCAAATTTAAGCAAAAAAAAAAAAGCCATTTCAGCAATAATACGGAAAATCCTTGCACCCATATTGCAAGAGCTCAAAAATAAGATTTTATCAAAATCAGCAGAAACGTTGGAGACCAGACTTACCACCGTGCTGCTGGGCCCTGAAGGTGCAGAGATGAAAACAGCCAAGGTCACCAGCGGAATTTCAATGTGAACTTTGGTGCTAAGCTGCTGTTGGCGTATTTTCCAAAGTAAACACGTCCCAAATCAAACAAGGCTCAGCTCGCTGGGTCAGCACAAAGCCCCTCACCCGCCTCTGACCCTGCGGAGTGACGTGCGACTCCTCGGCCCATGTCCGGCACGGGCTGCCGTCTTGAAGTCACGCTGCCGACGTGACCACGTGCAGCCAGACCCTTGGTACAGGCACCAGCCAATGGGGTGGAGTCAGGGTGATGCCTCTGAATGTAGAGGAGCCGTAGCCACCCCCCAAGTGTTTCTTCTTCCTTTACAAGGCCAGAGGGAGTGCTGGTCACATTGTTGGACTCACCCTGGCCTCCCAGGTCAACATGGCTGGCTGGGCTATGGGGCAGGTGCGCCGTCCCTCGGTGAACACGTGCCACCAGCAGCAGTGGGGGCAAGTGTGAGGTTGGTGGCTCAGAGCATGAGGAAGCCATAGGTAGGGCCTTTCTTCAGTGGGGTGTGTTCTCTGCTAAGAACATGGCCACACTGTCATGTCTATGGTCAGAGAGACAGAGGTGTCGCTGGAAGCCGTGGTTCTCAAGTCTGAGTCCTCACACACAGGAAGCCCCGGGGGGGACTGTTGTTCTGGTTCCCTAGTGCTGCTCTGACAGGAATGTACCACAAATGGGATGGCTTGAACAAACAGGAGTTTATTCTCGCCCAGTTTGGAGGCTTTAAGTCCAAGTTCAAAGTGCCAGGCTCTAGGCACTGGGTGAAAGCCCCTCAATCTTGGGCTGCAGCTCTGCCTCCTGCTCCCGGCCCACTGGAGCTAGAGGCTTCTCTTCACTCAGACAGCTGTTGGCTGCTGAGGCTGCCAAGCCCAAGGTTGACAAGTAAAAAGGCACAGTCCCGATGTTCCAAACCACACGGCAGGCCGTTGACTGAAGTCCATTAAAAGTCCCAAGGTCGGCAGAGCATGGCAGGCTGCTGAACAGCAACATGGCTACATGCAGGGTCCAAGCATGCCGTGAGCTAGAGTGCTGCTGACTGTATACGGGAAGCAGACCACATCCCCAGGGCAGCTGGCCAGCTACTCACGGTAGATAGATGGCACCCTGAAGCTGATGAGCAGTCCCGTCATGGGGAGCACTGCACCCAGCTGCCCAGCCATTCCACCAGGCCCAGCACGTCGACACGCAAGCTTAACCGCAGCTGTGATTTTAAGTCAATCCGTGACGTCGAGTCGGCTCTGACCTGCGTGTGCTTGAGTACAACTGTGCCCAGGGGGCTGTCAGTGCCAGCGCTTCCGGAAGTAGACTGCCAGGCTGTGGTTTCGAGGTGCCCCTGGGTGGACTTGCACGTTCAGCCCTTTGGATTAGCAGCCGAGCACAGTGCTAACCGTCCTACCACCGGGGACCCCAGGACTGGGTAGGGTTTTTTAAAAACAACTTGTGTTTTTAACTTTATAATCTAAAATTGTGTGCGTGTTCACAATTACCCGACGAGCACCTCCCGGCAGAGCTGGCTTCCTGACGGCAGCTCTCACGGGTGAGTTTGATGATTGTCTCAGAGCCACCGCTGAGTGAGAGCGTGGCTCCCCAGCTGGAAGATTCTGCGGGCCTGCGGGGGTACGTGGGGGTGTCGGCTCAGGGCTTGGGTTTGAGAGAGTCTGGCTTGTAGGGCTGTGTGTTGTATTCTGCACACAGGAGCGTGGTTGGGTGGAGTGTGGTGTAGCCCACGGTCACCTTGGTTAGAAGCTGTATGCTCAGAGTCTTCCACATGAATGCCGCTATGGGGGCAGTGAGAAGCTGTGATCTGCCTCCAGGCGCCACAGCAGGTCCGCTCCCTACCAGCTACCCCTCCTCTCTGCCTTCCTCATGCCCACTGCAGGCCCACCCCCCAGGTAGTCCCCGGCCAGCACCTGAACGCTCGGTGTTCTCGCTGCTGGGAGCATCTCTCTCATCTTCATTGACCACCGTCTGAAATAGTCCTCACACCTCCCTCTGTCGCTGTGTCCCTTCTAACACTACAAGGATCTGTACACCGAACTGTGTTAAGGGGCGCTGTGAGTCAGAATCCACTCCATGGCAGTGGGCGTGGTTTGGGCTTTGCTTCTATGAAGACTGACAGCCTTGGAGACCCTGTGGGCAGTTCCACTCTGTCCTCTAGGGGCGCTGTGGGTCAGAATTACTCCACGGCAGGGGATGTGGTTTGGGCTTTGCTTCAGTGAAGGCTGACAGCCTTGGAGACCCTGAGGGGCAGTTCCACTCTGTCCTCTAGGGGCGCTGTGGGTCAGAATGGACTCCACAGCAGTGGGTGTGGTTTGGGTTTTGCTTCTGTGAAGACTGACAGCCTTGGAGACCCTGTGGGCAGTTCCATTCTGTCCTCTAGGGGCGCTGTGGGTCAGAATCCACTCCTTGGCAGTAGGTGTCATGTGTGCTTCAGATCCCCTTAGGGAAAAATGTTTGATGTACTCTAACTTATTTAATTGCCCTTTGGGGGAGGCATTTTGTTTTTGTGTTTTTCTTGCTTTTATTACAAACCTTAGGTTTTTGTGCCTGGATCCCATTGTTGTTCTTTTGGCTATTGCTGCACATGGGGTGTTGGGAGTAGTTAGTGTCTTGGATACATATCAGCAAATTGCTTTCCCGGGCATGTGGTACTGTTCTGGGGTCCCCAGGCCTGCATGGACTTGCCTTCTCGTTCCTCAGCCCTGTGTCAGACACCATCATCTGTGCCATCTCCTCGTCCCCGGCACAAGGCCAGCACTGGTGGGAGTCTGCCTCACAACCCACTCTTTACAGGATGGTTATGAGGCTGGAATTGGTGGGAGTCTGCCTCACAGGGTCCCCTTCCCACAGGGCAGGAACCCCCATACAAGAACTGTCATCCACCTGTGAATTCTGTTTGGGGCTGCTGCGAGCAGAGGTGACCGCTTCGTGTAATTTTCCTTCCGGGAGACATCCTGCTGCCATCCCTGGTTCTGTCTGAAGCAGGGGTTCAGGGCGTGGCGCTCAAACCTGCACCTTAGCAGTCCTGCCCATACCTGCCTTTCATGTTGGCATGCAGCCTGGGGTTCTTGCTGCTAGAAAAGATGGAAGGCTACTTCAGGTGCCCCTCCCAAGCCTGCCCCTGTGCAGGGTGCCTTCCTACTGCGGGGCCAGGTCCGCGGGAGCGCAGCGCGCTGGGCATAGGGCTCTGTCCTGGCGTTGGGGTGCACGAGCCCACGACCCTCCTCTGTCCCGCTCTCTCCTTGCTGCATAGCTCACCCGCCGACTGCCACCCATCAAGGAGGCCAAGCCTCGGCTGCAGAAGCTCTTCCGTGACTTCTGGCTCTACTCGGTCCTGATGGGCTTTGCCGTGGAGGGCTCAGGTAGGGTGACGCTCTTTCCAGGGCGGCACAGCACTGACAACAAAGCTGAGGTGGGGCTGGGCCTGACCGTGATGAATGTGGACCTAGTAACAGTTGTCCACACGCAGCCACAGCCTCCAAGTGCCTGCCAGTATTCCCCTTCCCAGAGGTAGTTCAGGGCTAGTGCAAGCTGCCTGTCTCAGGAGAGGCCAGAGTGCATTAGGTCAAGACTCAGAGGCTGTGTGTTTCAGATCGTGGCTGTTGAGTGAGCTTCTAACTCACGTCCACACGGTGGGCAGTGGGGTCATGCTGCTGTGACCCATCAGATTGTCATTGGCCGATTTTCACAAGTGGCTTGGCAGGCCTTTCTTCCCGGTGTCTCTGTGTCTGGAGGCTCTGTGGAAACCTGTTCAGCTCACGGCGGCACAAAAGCGTCCTGGCAGATGGGCGGTGGCTCTGTGTGAGGTGCCTCAGCTGGGAATCAAAGCTGGGTCTCTTGCACGGAAGCCAAGAACCATACTCCTGAAGTAGGAGAGCCCTTGTGTCTGGGATGGTTGGCTCAAGTAAAGGGCTCACCCTTGTAAAACTTGGTAGAGTCTCTACTACGGTTCAGGTCCACCCAGAGGCACGCAACAGAAAGGCCTGGCAATCTACTTAAGAAAAATCTGCTGTGGGAAACTCCATGGAGCACAGTTCCACTCTGGTGCACTTGGAGCTGCCATGGGTCCGAGTCAGCTCACTGGCAACTGGGTGATTGGTTTCTGAACTCCACCGCGGCGCACCCCCTGAGGCGGAAACTTCCGGTCTGTTTGCTCCTCCCATGCAGGGCTCTGGCCGGAGGAGTGGTATGAGGGGGTCTGCGAGATAGCCACCAAGTCGCCCCTCCTCACCTTCCCCAGCAAGGAGCCGCTGCGCTCCGTCCTGCAGTACAACTCGGCGATGAAGAACGACACGGTGACGCCGGTGAGGAGGCCCGGCCTCGGAGAGTTCTGCAGCCGGCTCACGGTGCAGGCCGCTCTCCTACGAGGGGCACTTTGAGCGATGATAACGGGTCCTTGTTAATGCCTGCTGTTAACCACGGGGTCGTTGCGCTGGGAGTGGGGAGCATGCGCGTGAGCTCTAGAGCATGGCTGTCCCCTCCAGGCCGAGCTGAGTGAGCTCCGCGGCACCATCATCAACCTGCTGGACCCTCCTCCCGAAGTATCCGCCCTCATCAACAAGCTGGACTTCGCCATGTCCACCTACCTTCTGTCTGTCTACCGACTGGAGTACATGCGGTAAGCACGCCCTCCCCTATCACTCCACACGTGACCGGCCTTTAGGCTTCCGTGCCCTGCTTGGCAAGGGACTTCTCTACCTCCCTTTCAAAACGTCAGGATTCCTGTTGGTGCACCGGGGAATGTGCACTGGGTCAGCGGTTTGAACCCACTGTTTGCTCTGCAGGAGAAAGATAAGGCTGTCTGCTTCCATAAAGATTACAGCCTTGGGGACCCTGTGGTGCAGTTCCACTCTGTCCTCTAGGGGCGGCTGGCAGTGGGAACCCACTACCATGGAAGTGGGTTTGGTTGGGGCTTGCAGTGAGTGTGGTTTAGACTTTGCTTCCTAAATATTGACAGCCTTGGAGACCCTGTGGGTCAGTTCCACTCCGTCCTCTAGGGGCGCTGTGAGTGGGAATCTACCCCACAGCA